GGAGTTGAGTACTTTGTCCGCCTCTGAGTGTTGCTTTTGATAAAACAAGCTTTTTCATAATTAAAAAAACATTTTTATCCATTTTATTGCATATGAATTATTGAACTCTTCTCTGTGGACACACAGTTGTAGATGTAGTGAGAGGACATTAAGAAACACAGATTTGGTATAATAATGAGAAAATTAAATTGAAGGTGATAATTGTATTAAATACATTCTATTATTAATCCCTCATGACATTTAAAATTGAAAATATTTTTTATTTTTAAACCTAATAGCAGTTACCCTTGCTGGACCTGTTTTGTCCCACGTCTCAAGAATGACTATAGACAATTGTCAGGTTTTTTTTTTAAATTATAGATTATTATCCATTTGTTTTTTTGTGTCATAAATGATTAACAATATAAATTGAACAAATCTTAAAACAAAAAAATTAAAACAAAGCTTGAACGTTTGAACATTTGATTTAATTGAAAAAGCATTCTTTAATACTCCATTTCACAACTAAACACGTTTTTTCATAGAACAAAAAACTAAATTCCCCCCCAAAAAATGATTCATTTAAATAAAATGTGTTTTTCCCTATTAAATAGCACAAGCATCACACACTAGCTGTACCTGCTCCAAATAAATACAATTAATTAAAATAAAATACAAAATCAAATAAATTGAAGTTATGCAGGCACACATTTAACAATAATTATCAAAAATAACATTAAAACTAAAATAAATACTTTAGCTGGGTTTCCACTGGCAGGGTCACAATTATCTACGGTGTATGAAGCTAAAGGTTTTTGGATTAAGGTTCATAATTTAGAAAAATTTTAACATTGCATGCTGTATGTGCATAAGTAGCTAGCAAACAAGGAAAAAAAAAAAAAAAAGCATTTCCAGAATGTTCTATGTAACAGCTCTTTTGATAATTTTTCATTAAAATTTATTTTTTTTCTTCTTAACTTATGTATATTAGGATTTTATGTTAAAACTCTTATTGTTTAAATCATTCATTTATTTTATTTTTAGTGTCACCATAATGTTGTTTTGTGTATGACACAGTGCACGTTATATATTAGCATTTACCTCAGCTTGTGAAAAAGATACTTGTGACAAACTTCTCTTTACAGACTGTGTTTTTAAGGTGGTTGTGACAGAACATTATAAAGGTATAATAATACAAAACAAAACAAAAAATAGTAATTTGGCATAATAACACTGTTACAGTATAACACTGTTTGTTATAGAGTCATATTGCACATTTGTGTATTTTAACTATGCATATTAACTAAGGTTCAACTAATGAATCATGTTAGATCAGTAATGTACATATCAGCTAACTGTACTAACATTATTACAACTGATTTTACAATAGGTGTGTTTGAGTTCAACTTTATGCAGACTTGTGCATCAATTTAACCTCAAACTTAAATTTTTTCTTCTACCTATTTATCTTCACTACCACAGTGTTGATCTCTCCCGCAGAAGCACTTTTTTTCTATACTCTTATACCTTTTTTGAACTGCTGCAGTAGTAATCTCTTCCTCTGCCCCTTCAGGAGCACTCTTTCTCTTCTTCACTATTTATTTGTCCTCTTCTTCAAGTACAGAAAGACAAATTTGTTTACTGTTATTTACCAAGACTGGATGGGTGTCACACTGCGCTGTTGAGGAACCATGAGGAAACGTAAACAGTCTTTAATCCAAGGAACACAGGGGAAAACCACACAATGGGCGCTGGAGTAAACACACGTACGTAATGAGTAGACCCAACCGAGGAGAAATGCACAGACAAGAACTTAAATGCTAGGGATAATTTAAAAAAAACAGGTGCACTGAATGACTAATTAAACTAAACGAGGACAGGAACATGACCAAATAAGGGAACACAGGAACAGAAACAGAGGCTAAATACAACAAAACAGGTCCATGATCCTGACAATGGGCAGGTGAACACAAGGACTGAAGTTCTAAACAGAGATTTAGGAAAAGCCTTGCCCCCTCTCCTCCACCATCACCTAGGAGCCATGGAGGAGGAATGGCCGCCGACTCCAGGCAATCGACCAACGGCGGTGGAGTAGGTGGCGGAGGAGCCCGGGGCGGAGACGGAGAGCCAACGAGCAAGGGGGATGCCGAGGATCTGGGGGGCCAGGGTGGAGCCGAAGGCTCTGGCAACCGAGGCGGAGATCCGCGGCGGAGCCAGAGTGACTGAGGACCAAGGTGGAGCTGGCGGGAGGAAGGAGCCCAATGGAGCCGGTGGGATGGAGCGACAAGGTGCAGCCGGAGGAGCGGAGTCCTGAGGCGATGACGGGTCGACGCCTGACCATGGTGGAGCCAGAGGGACGAGGGAGCCCGGTGGAGCTGTTGGATCGACGGGTGATGGTGGAGGAGAGGGGGCAAGTCGGGTTTCAGCTCTGTTTCCCAGTCTATCAGGTCCCCTTCTAAGTCCAGCAGTCCCAGATGTATTATTAACTCACCCTCAGCCGCGGTGCAGTGGGCGGAGCTCCACTCCATGCTCTCACCGTCCACGGCTTGCTCCCTCGCGATGGGCACTGTCGCTGGCTCTCACACCTGGTCTGACGGCTGGGGCCCCACATCCGGGGCGATTGCGATGGGTCGTTGATCGCGGCGGTAATGGGCTCTCAGTCATCGGTGGGCTCGGGCTGATGCTCCGCACTGCGGGGAGATGGTGGGCTGGGCACTGGGTCTGGAGTGGATCTGGCAAGAATTCGGGACGAACAAGGGGATCCATAAGGGAAGCACAATGGAAACAAAAACACTGAGAGAAAACGGGAAACAAAAACGGAGGGTAGACACCCGGAGGTAACTGTTTCGGTCGGGTCTTCTGTCACGTTACACTGTTATGGAAGCACAAAGGAGACACAAGGAAACATAAACACTCTTTAATCCAAGGAACACAGGGGAAATCCACGCAATGGGCGCCAGAGCAAACACACGTACATAACGAGTAGACTCGACCAAGGAGAAATGCACAGACAAGAACTTAAATGCTAGGGATAATTAACAAACACAGGTGCACTGAATGACTAATTAAACTAAACAAGGACAGGAACATGACCAAATAAGGGAACACAGGAACAGAAACAGGGGCTAAATACAACAAAACAGGTCCATGATCCTGACAATGGGCAGGTGAACACAAGGACTGAAGTTCTAAACAGAGATTTAGGAAAAGCCTAATCATTGAGTCCTGTCAGTCATCATCACAAATGTTTATAAGCAGCAGTTATTGGGGTCAATATGACCCCAATCATCTTTTCCTTAGTTAAAAAAAGATAAGATTTAATATTAAGATTTTGTCACTTTTTTACATTATCTATCTATATTCACACAAAACTGGGCTTGATTCGGTTGTTCTGAAGGAATGTAATTTTTACAAATCTTGTCTTTAAATGAATGGGAAAATATATATATATATATATATACACACGCAAAAACACACAAACACACACACACAGGTATGATTGCCACATAATGTGATTGTAAAAAGATTTATTGTTATTTGATGTTCACTCTTCACTCCTGTTCATTTCTGCATATTGCTGTTGGCTTTATTTATATATTATTTAATTTCTTCTACATTCTAAAGTTAATTATTGTTTTTTTTACACTTGGTTCACTACCGTAGAATCAATAATATGCAACTACAATCTGACTCTAAGTCTTGTCCTTTAGGTCTGTCTTATGTGGCATTTTTCTGTCAAATTTTGTAAAAACAGACATTTCAAAATGCATCAAAAACTACAAAAGAATCTACTATTTGAAAGAATATTTATTTTTAATGTATTTTCTAATGTTTATATACACATACATTCACAAAATGTATCACAAAAGTTGTAATAAGAGATGGCATAATTCTACACCTAACACCTAGATCAATATCCAGAAACAACTTAAATTAAATTGATCACCATTTAAGTGATTTTTTTCATAACAATTTAATATTTTACTAGCAAGATAATGGTGTAGTTGCAGAATTATGTGGTAAATAGGTACAAAAGTACTTCATGTCTCCCAAAACACAGCATTGATGTACAGATGAGAAGTAAACAAAAAAGAATATATATATATATATATACACACGCAAAAACACACAAACACACACACACAGGTATGATTGCCACATAATGTGATTGTAAAAAGATTTATTGTTATTTGATGTTCACTCTTCACTCCTGTTCATTTCTGCATATTGCTGTTGGCTTTATTTATATATTATTTAATTTCTTCTACATTCTAAAGTTAATTATTGTTTTTTTTACACTTGGTTCACTACCGTAGAATCAATAATATGCAACTACAATCTGACTCTAAGTCTTGTCCTTTAGGTCTGTCTTATGTGGCATTTTTCTGTCAAATTTTGTAAAAACAGACATTTCAAAATGCATCAAAAACTACAAAAGAATCTACTATTTGAAAGAATATTTATTTTTAATGTATTTTCTAATGTTTATATACACATACATTCACAAAATGTATCACAAAAGTTGTAATAAGAGATGGCATAATTCTACACCTAACACCTAGATCAATATCCAGAAACAACTTAAATTAAATTGATCACCATTTAAGTGATTTTTTTCATAACAATTTAATATTTTACTAGCAAGATAATGGTGTAGTTGCAGAATTATGTGGTAAATAGGTACAAAAGTACTTCATGTCTCCCAAAACACAGCATTGATGTACAGATGAGAAGTAAACAAAAAAGAAGAAAAAAAAGATATATTATTTGTATGATTAAAAATGTATATATTTTTTACAAGTACTCTTTCAACTTTGGGGTCATATTGACCATAAGGGTAAACATTCAATGAGGACCATTAAGAGTAGTGTTTGATGACCTGTAAAACTACTCAGCATTCATCACGCAAGTTCATACTTTATAACCGTCTAAATATGACTATGCATCTCCTGGTCAAAGCCTTTGTCATTTCACATCAGGACTACTCAAATGTTCTGTTGGCTGATGTTCCAGCTTGCGTGATTATGCCTCTGCACATGACCCAGAGCATGGCAGCGCATCTGGTCTTTATGATGGTGGCCTTCAGGACTGACACTGGAAATGCATTTATACCTTAAAACAGTCTAACAAGTGTATGTTCGCCAACGCCATTCATGGGCAATAAATTAAGTTATTAATTGCTAAATTAATACATGTCAATGCCCAGTAGAGAGCAGTAGATCTTCTTGTTTATGACTGATAGCAGTAGTTTTTTGGATTTGGTTTGTCATTTGTAGATTGCTCCAGGAGAGATTCAGTACTATAAAACATTAAAGAGGAGGATCAGACATTTATATACATTCCAGAGCCATCAGTAGAGATCAAAATATTACAAAATATTAATAAAGATGTCACAATCATATAGTGCAATTCTAAATAATTTGACTTTTTTTAAATGGCAATCATTATAATGTGGATTTAAGCAAAGTAAAAATGCAGAGTAAATGAGTAACTCACTGTAGTTTTTCGAGTTTACAGTGTGGATCCATCCGTAGATCAGAGAGCAGCTTTATTCCAGAATCACCTAGTTGATTATAATTCAAATTCAGTTCTTTCAGGTGTGACGTGTTTGACCTCAGAGCTGAAACCAGAGCAGCACAGCCTTCCTCTCCAATACTGCAGAATTCCAGGCTGCAGAATATGGAAAGATATTTGAATTACGATTTAACTACAGGTCCCATTAAATCTCAAGAGATTCTGGTTCAGATTTCCCACATGCTTTTTTGTCAGAATTAACACAAAGCTTTAAACTGCTTAATATGAAAATTGCCTCAAAAGTGGAACATTAATGGAAATAATTGCACTTTTTGTGCAGTCACTGTAAATGTAAATCTATGAATCAATTGATAGATATTAATACAATTTCAGTAACAAATGTTCTTGCAATTTGTTTAGTAACTCTAAATTCACAGCTCAAATTATTTTTACTTGGCTTTCACTGAATGGCCTTTAGGAGGGACACATTCTTACAGATAAGCACACATGAGGTGACTGCTCAAGGAAAGTTCTTTTTCTTTTATCCAGCCTGTAAGCCTCATTTTTGGTCTGGCTGCTTCCCTCATGTAGCAGTGCTTCTTACTGACATCAATGCCACTTTCACATACTTGGTAATGATCCATGGGGCCAGGACTAGGCCAGGAATTTATAGACTATGCTGGGGGTCTGCCTTCCTGCAAAGTTCAACTCCAACCTTGAACAAACACAACTGAACCAGTTCATTAAGATCAGGAGCACTAGATAATTACAGTGTCTTTGATCAGGGTTGGAACTTAACTGTACAGGTAGGTAGATCTCCATGAACTGGATTGGGCATCCCTGGACTATACCAATGTAAATATGATCATTTTTTCTGTGTTGGAAATGATCACAATTCATACATTTTTATTGAGTTTGGATTAAAATATGAATGAGCTGCTGAAACATATTATAAACTTTTTTTTTTGTTAAATTGTTAACGTTTATAAGAACTAAACATATTTAGAAAAACTATGACTGAATTTATATACAAAACAAAGTTTTGTTACGCAGTTCAAACTGAATTTCAAAAACTTTTGAGGAACAAGAATATATAAGAAAATTGCTCCTGAAATAGCAATAGCCGCGTTTCCATTGTCTGGCTAAATGCGGGCATGCTAGTGCATGCCAGGGCCAGTAGTGTTTCCACTGTCACTTTGGGGGCTTGATTGGGCCTCGTCAGGGCTTCCTCGAGCCAGCTCTTGCTTAGTTGGGGACACTTCATTTCCAGCGATATCGTTGACTTGATTGCAAATGATTGCAAAGATACTATTTAAACTGAACTGAGCTGGATGTTGACATCACTGAATTCAATGATGAACTGTCTTTAACTGAAAAATGAGTGTTTACTATTGTCACTTTGCATTATTGACACACTATCTTCCTAATTAATGCTGTTCAGTTGCTTTGACACAATCTGTATTGTTAAAAGCGCTATATAAATAAAGGTGACTTGACTTGACTTGACATCTGGAGAGCATCAGAGCCGCAGATTATTAACAGTTATAACACCAGCATTAAAGACTTTTAAAATAATTTGAGCTCAAATCTCACTTTCAGACAGCAGCAAATATTTGAAATAACTTTTGTTTGAGATCCGATGATCACCATACAAGGCAGAAATATTTATAAGTGATGCAAAAGGCTATGCATGCTAGACATTACCATATTAAACATGGTAAATACGACCACTTGAAGAAATCAGACAAATCATACAGGCAATCACAATCGTGTATTTATTTAGTAATATATGTTATCTGTCAGTAAGTCTCGTCTCTTTATACTTGACTGTCTGATGTTCATATTTAGCTTTATGTCATAAAATATATCATAATCATAGTTTTTGTTCAGGAGCTCCCTCTGCTACTCGGGTCGTATTTTTGATGAAAAAAATATAGAAATGATCATTCTTTCTAAATGTGATGCATAGGGGAGAGTGGGGTAAGATGAGCCAGTAGGGAAGTTGACCCACCCCCTGTATCTTGCCAACTGTACATTTTTATTGTCATGTGGCCATATATTTTGAAACCACCCATAATTTCTGCCAGACTGTGAAAAGAAGAAACACACGGGAGGAGTGGAAGACACCCAATTACTTTAAAAACTGTTTTTGGCTTGTCAAAGTAAAATTTTTGCATAACAGATGTAATGGTTGTTACATCAAAGTAAATTTATCCAGGTCTAAAAATATTTAGGATGCATATAAGTGATTTAGCAATGTATAAAATCATGTAAATCATTTAGCTAAATATTAGCCTGAATTAGTAAAATATGCTTCGGGGAAATGTATCGGAGTAAAAGGACATTTTTAATTAGGTAATGTAGTGGAGTAAAAGTAAAAGTTGGCTGAAATATAAAAACTCAAGTAAAGTACAGATACTCCCAAAATATACTTAAGTACTGTAACGAAGTATTATTACTTTGTTACATTACACCACTGTACATACACTGAACAAAATTATAAACGCAACACTTTTGTTTTTGCCCCCATTTGTCATGAGCTGAACTCAAAGATCTAAGACTTTTTCTATGTACACAAAAGGCCTATTTCTCTCAAATGTTGTTCACAAATCTGTCTAAATCTGTGTTAGTGAGCACTTCTCCTTTGCCGAGATAATCCATCCACCTCACAGGTGTGGCATATCAAGATGCTGATTAGACAGCATGATTATTGCACAGGTGTGCCTTAGGCTGGCCACAATAAAAGGTCACTCTAAAATGTGCAGTTTTATCACACAGCACAATGCCACAGATGTCGCAAGTTTTGAGGGAGCATGCAATTGGCATGCTGACTGCAGGAATGTCCACCAGAGCTGTTGCCCGTGAACTGAATGTTCATTTCTCTACCATAAGCCATCTCCAAAGGCGTTTCAGAGAATTTGAACCTGAAGTTACTTTAGATTCTTTGATTGTACTTCTGTGTCATTTTCACTTATCTTGAGGACCACATAAGTAAAAGGTGGCTCATCTTACCCCACTCTCCCCCTGTGACTACAAATAAACAGAAACAGACGCGACTGGATACGTATGTGTGTCCTCTTTCTTTTGTGAAATAACGGTAAATACCACTTTATTTCTGTGTGGCTGTTTTTTGAATCCTGACAAATTAATTCATTATGATTGATTTACTTATTATTGTAAAACTGGTCAAACATTGATGCTTTCGGGTTTAAATCTTTAAGTAAACAACAAAAAGTGCATACAAATGGGCACTTTTATCATGTTCGTTTTGTGATCTCGCTAGTTACAGTGATTTATTTAGTTTTTATTTCGATTTATATTTATTTCGATAAGTTTTCTGGTAACTTCTCTTTGTTGGTGAAATGATGGGGTTGCATGACGTTGTTCCAGAGAGGCGTGTAAAGGGTGGGTTTTACTGAAGCAGTTGGAGCGCAGCGAAGTTTCTGGCCCGACGGTGGAAATGCAGAGTGATTTTGGGCTCGGTGCTACAGGTCTGAGGCTATTAGCCCCACCCCGCCCACTGAAAGCACTGGCTCGCACTGGCCCGACAGTGGAAAAGAGGCTAATGTGGTTCTGCTTTGCAAGAAAAACATGATATTACTCACTGTAGTTTCTCCAGCTTACAGTTTGGATCCTTCAGTAGATCAGAAAGCAGATTCATTGCTGAATCTCCTGTATTGTTTCTGCTCAGATTCAGTTCTCTCAGGTGTGAAAGATTTGATCTCAGAGCTGCAATTAGAGCATCACATCCCTTCTCACTAATGCTGCAGTTGCACAGCCTACAGAGAGGGAAACACATCTCACACTTTTAGGTGATCACATATGAATTCGACAACAAAAAAAATTATGTGTACTTGAAATATTTTTTGTTAAACTGCTTAAACGTTAAATGGATAATTAACCCAATAATGAGAATTCTGTGGAGATCTATTGTGAACATCAACTAGCTTAACATGAGAAACAGACTGAAATGATATTGAAAAACTCTCCATAAGGATATAAGCTTGAAAAAAAAAATCCAACAAACAGAAGTGAAAAAGGTATTGTCTCTCTTCACTGTTCACACTAATTAAAAAATGGCATGCTAATTGAAATAAACACAAAAACAAGCACTGCAATTTCAGGAGTAACTTGTGAAATGATCATTTAGGCGATTTTAATGCTTTCTATGTGGCCTTTGTGGTGTAAACACTAGAGAAATTCCTGTCATGTGTCTGTAGTCATGAGGCTGTTTGTGTGGGTTTGTATATATTAAAAAAACTCAAATGTCAAAAGAAATCATAGAATACGTGTGCATAATATTATCCATTTTTTATTATAGTAAAACTCACTGTAGTTTTTCCAGTTTACACGGTGGATAATTCAGTAGATTGGAGAGCAATTTCACTCCTGAATCTTCTAGTTTATTCTCACTCAGGTTCAGTTCTCTCAGGTGTGAAGGGTTAGATCTCAGAGCTGAAACCAGAGCAGCACAACCTCCCTCTCCAAAACTGCAAAATTCCAGTCTGTAGAATTGGAAAAAATAAATATAACTTTTGAATAAAAGTGTATGCTAAATGCACAAATGTCTGCAGAACTTTTGGTATTACCAGAACATCACAGAGAGGATCCCATAAAAGCTAATTTTTTACACAATATATACTGTCAGTGGTGTATGTGTGTATATTAGGGGTGTAACAGTACACAGATGTCACAGTTTCGGTACGTACCTCGGTTTGGGGGTCACGGTTCGATACGATTTCGGTACAATAGGAAAAAACAACAACAAATCTACTATGCTAGGTTTCTTTTCATTTATTTTGAACAGACACATTACAATTTTTTTCACCTAGATGTGAAAATACTAAGTATTATATAAAAATATAAAGTTATATATAAGTTTTGTTACATTTTGTTTTATAAATCAGCTTGAATATTAGCTATTCATACTAATATTAAATAAACTCAAGTACTTGGGTCAGATAAAAGATAAAAGTATGGTTCATACTAATATTAAATAAACTCAAGTACTTGGGTCAGATAAAAGATAAAAGTATGGTTCATACTAATATTAAATAAACTCAAGTACTTGGGTCAGATAAAAGATAAAAGTATGGTTCATACTAATATTAAATAAACTCAAGTACTTGGGTCAGATAAAAGATAAAAGTATGGTT